AAAAAAACAGACCTAGACGTTATTTTGAAGTAACAATCGTTTTGAATAGACATTTGTTTTTTTGTAGTTAAATATTACATCGATATTTTACTCGTTTAACTACAAACAATTGTTTCAATTTTGATGATCTTTCGAACAACGTGTACGAAGACATAATTGATTGCTTTTAATAACTCGAGTTAATTTAATATGCTTTGACATACTTCAATATAGAATAATTGACTTTCTAAGAAGAGATCGAGAAAAGTTATTAAAGTTAATTGGATTAAATGTCAATTTTTTCTACACGGTCACGTACTCACCTCGAACTAATATAGCGACAAATTTTAACGTCCATGTCTCTCTTGATATTTCATAATATCCGTTCATTTTCTTTCTCTCTTTCTCTTTCTCTCTCTCTCTCTCTCTCTCTTACTCTCTGCTAAAATATATCATGAATCCGATCTCCGCAGCGACTATTTCGCGGATTCCGCCTTTGCGCGCTCGGTAGCCCGTCCGCCACTCACCGTGTATTTTCTCCTGGACGTTTTTACTCCATTGATTTTCCACCGGAGCTTTCCCGGCCCCGCCGTGTTAGTACCAACGTCCAATCTCGCTTTTCAGAGAGCGTCGCAACGCCAGTCGTCACAACCGCGTCGCACAACCGTCCGATATCTTCTCTTCTCACTTTCGCGTGCAAACTTTTGCTCGCGACAACAACCACGCGAGCTCTATCGCGAACTCTATAGAGCCACTCGTTTGTGTCCGGAAGGGAAGAAAAAAAAAAAAAAAGTTGTAACGAAGCGTGTATTTTGTGTGGCTGATGGCGTCGAGTCCGGTCGGTTCACTGAGAGAGGAAGACCGGCCAATGCCTAGGACAATATTAGAATCGGGATCTCGATCGCGTTCCCTCTCTCTTTCTTCTCTCTGTATCTCTGCGTCGCACTTGTGTTACACACAGTCTCGTTCGTCTCTATCTCGCACTTCTCGTCTTGATCTTGGTCCATCCCACGCTCCCCTAACCTCCCTCTCCCCCGCCCCGAGGCTCCTCAGGCTTCCTCATGTTTAGTTCGGCACGACGTAATCTCGCGTCATTGCGCGCATCAGAGACTTGTACACACAAGCGCATGTGCATTCTCATCAAGTACACACAAGTCTCAAGTGCAGGTAATTTAAGATAATAAAAGTTTTTATAAAGGTTTACAAAGGTGAAAAAACAACGTACAGTAATTTAATTCTTTTATTTTTAAAGATCAAACCTGTATTTTTATCGGAAAACATGAGTACACACACACACACATACATACACACATACTGTTTTAAGCCGACTATGGTTGATTATTTTTCAAGCGACACACAATACGAGTCCGCGGTTCCTTATAATACCGAGGCCTTCTTACATTTCCGTTACACGTCGCACGTGCGCGTGCAAAACGAGCCCGCTTGCGTTCCACTTCACGTACGCGCGTGTGACACTTCCCGCATTAGTTATCGCATGCGTATACATTTATATCTCGCGATTGCGTATCGCGCGGCGTGTATTCACTTCGCCGATATCCGATCGGTGGATCCGTGCACGCGTGCACGAATGCGACGGCGACCTCGATCGCTATAACGCTGATAACAATCTGCGACTTTTGATTGCGGCGAGTGTTTCGCGCGACATTCACCTCCTCTATTCCCGTACGTGTAACGCGCGTACAAAGAATAACGCGAGAATTTAGGGTCAACGACGCGACACGCGTACGAGATGAGACGAACCGACTACTCACCTGACGTTATTCGACGCGTGGGTGCGCCCGCGAGAGGCGCAGCAATAGATACAGTTTTTAACATTGACCTCTGGAGGTCAATGCCAATAAACACGTAACATTCTCCGTACTCCGGGGCCTTAACCTTTTGAAATTCCCGAGCGACAAATAACGTAAGAGCCTTCGCGCCGAATCTAATCTTCGAAATGTTATCAGTGCCGCACCAATGACTCAAGTTCTTTTCAAAATATTTATCGGTAGACAAAAGAGCAAACGATTTTGTTACGTGTTTTAAAACTATTCGTAAGCTGCTAAAATAAAATACTCATTTGTTTCAAGATGCGCCGTAAGAAAAATTTCACATCGCGCGTGTTTTCGACTGCTTTCGGCGGCCGTCGCGCGAGGAATTAATTAACCGCGCAATCGACGGTCTTGTTACGACGTTAATCACAAACCGAGAAGCGTTGGTTACCACCCCAACTCTGCTTCTTGCGCGCACATCTCCCTTGTGTCTTGTGACTCTCGTCTGCTTCTCTAAAGAAGCCTACTTGAGCCGCGTCGGCGGTGTCGGCTACGGCGCAGCTTCTTCCGACAAAAAGAGGAGCCAAGCAGCGGTGACTGGAATCTTGATGCGTGATAATAACTAAATGTAAAGAGATACTCTTCCTCTTCGATGTCATCAAAGTGCAAAATAAGAGATATGTATATGTTCATACTCTTGAATCCAAAATCAATGATCCCGCTCATTTGCCGCTTCTCTTCTTGATCTCCGCGATCCGTGCACGATGACAAAAAAATGAATAAATCGTTCGCGACTTCTTTGATTTCTCAAGTGTTCTCTAACCGAATAGAAAGAAATATCGCGTCCGTTGCTTTTTCAACAGAATGCCCCGCGATTTGAGAACCCCTGATGTAGCGGATAACAGCTCCGACTCCAACCTGGGTGGTCAGAGTTCAAATACCGCTCGTCATCTCCGGAGTTTTCTGATACACACGCCATAGTTCCACGGTGATTCAAAACTCGCTTTAAAACCTGCGCGGCTTCTCTTACGCGCCGATGTAAACGTCGATGGACGTGTAACATACCGACACTCTTCGTAATTTCGAAATTACAAGAGGTATTTTAAAAAAAACACACACACACACACAAGAACACAATAATATTTTAATATCTTTCTTCGAGAAATTTCCTAAAATTTTATCGATCTCTCGAAGAAAATTGATCGAACTGTCTCATCGATTGCGCAACAACAACATTTTCGTTGGCGAAAGAAAATTGCGTTACATCTTGACGTAACTCTTGGCGCTCTTCTAATAGTTACAACGCGCGTACACGCGTAATGCAATTAGAGACTCACGTGGACCGCCGAGAACAAGAACCGCAATCAGCAGCGACGTGACTTTCACTGAACTGGTCCGTGTTGCCGCTGACATGCGAGAAGAAACGTCCGTTTGTCTCTCATCTTCCGCTCTTCTTCTCGCGATTATTGCAAACCCCACACAGAGCGGAGGGAGGTGATGGGAGAAGATCGGGGGGAATAATGGCGGTTGTTAGAGCGAGTAAAAGATCAATTCGTCCGGGTAATAACGTCGGACGAACACGCGACGCGAGTGTTCCACCAAGGACCGCAAACGTTGCGCCGATATATTGACGTATCGAGCGGCGAACTGTGCTAAAGAGGCAGCTTTCATGAAGGCGAGCTATTTATATAAAAGGCACATATGGAATCGAGAGCGCATTTTTATTAACAATACGACACCACTGTTCGACACATCAAGTTCAGTGCTCCGTCGAGCGAAACAATTTTCCTTCGATTAATTCGAGACGACTCTTCGAACGTGCATCTAACAAAATATATATATATATATAAAATATATAAAAATATATATATAACGCGTGAATTATAAATATACATGTATTTGTATTTTTTATTAATATTTATTTATTTCTATTTCACAATTCTATTATTGTTATACTCGCGCAAAAAGGTTGATTATATATATATATATCTCATTTCATTCGTATTTTAATTACAATTTTTCTTCGCTTCTTTGCAAAGAAATGTCTTAACAAAGAAATGTCTCACTTTTTTTTTTGTGTCCCTCCGAATCGTTTGAAAACACTCGGAATTGCATTCCGCCGCATTCTGCTTACGTTAGAAGTCGCGAGACATAACACCGCGCGATTTTAAAGAGAAGCACTCTCGGGAGATCACAATAAGCGAATGAAGTTTTTACGAGCAGACTCGCGTCGGAGGTTCTCGATCAATATTTTTCCCCTATGTGTGTGTGTATGTGTGTGTGGATGCGCGCGCGTATATGAGAGAGCAAATGTTTGCCGAGTTACACTCCCGCGACAATCTATTCCGGAGTAAAGAGCGGTGTAACGATCCGCTACTTCTGCAAAAGAAATCTAAATGTAATATTTAACTGTATATATATATATATATATTCGCCTGTTTATAACGTCTTAATATTCCTCTCGTACAATTTCGCGTTGTTTTTTTCTCCGCGGTCGAGACGGATAAATTAAATAACGTAACATTTAATTTTCGAGAACATCGTCGCTAATCTCGGGCGTCTGCGAATCGTCAACTCCAGGGATCCATCTTCTTTTTTTTTTTTGCGACTGCACACTGGATGATTATATCCCGCTTGCCCACTCATAAATACCAGCGTCTGTTTTCCGCCGCGTAAGCGCCGCGAGCTACGACTCGATTGAAAGAGAAGGATTCAGCTCTTTCTCTTTCTCCCTCTTTCTCTCTCTCTTTCTCTCTCTTCGGCATTCACTCGCAATTAAAAACCTCGAGAACTCGTTTAAAAGATACGATTGTTACGGGACACATCTCGCGAAAGAACGTGACGTTCCCAGTGGCTGACGAATCTTAGTTGGAATTACGCACTCCGAGTGAAAACCGGAGTCAAGGGAGACGCGAGATAGGGTCTCGCGCCCAAGTTCACGAAGGTTTTTGTCATACCTGACGTTCAAAATCAGAAAAGTGTCTCTGGAGATAAGAAAAAAAAATGAACAAGTCGGAGAAAGATAAATGTAAATTTTATATAACTGTAACACACACACACACACACAGATTTTCTCAAATGTATATCTGAAAAATGTTTAAGAAACTGTCAACGGAAGAATCCACCGCTTAATCTAAGTTGCTTTTACTCGCTAGCGAAATAAGCGCGTTTGATTTATTTTCGTTTGCGAGTCTCCTCCTTAAAGACCGCGTCGCACCATAGATCGAATGCGGAATGAATGTTACAAACCTTTTTCCGGTACGTGCTCGGCAGACAGGCCCACTGCGCGTAACTCGTGTGAACCATTGTGTGTGAAAGGATTTTTTTTTTCTCGAATTCTCTCTCTTTCTGTCGTTGCTCGCAAGCCACGTGTACTTCGCGACAACGGCACTTGATCCGCAAACACGCCGCGCACTTTTCCTTTTAAATCATCGTCATTGCGCGCAATCGTCTTCGATTCGCCGGATGTAATTTCGCTTACAACACACCGCAGTTTCGCGCGCGCGCGCGAGAAGAAAGTTTGAGACAAACTTGAGCGAACTTGTGTCACGTTCTCGTTTCCTCTTTACTCTCGCGTGTCTCTCGCGTTGGTTTTGATCTCCGTACGCGTTTTTGCGCGGTCTCTCACATCTCAAAATTACATCTCGCTTTTATTTTTACAACGTCAGACAAACGTCAAAGAGATTTGACACATTTGTCAACCGCGCGTCTCCTATTTCGAATAGATACGTATTCACACCTTGAAATTCCACGATCGGGCGAGGAACTTCCGCGTTTCTCGAACACCCGCGATGTTTTCCCGCGCAGTTACGAGGCAGTAAAACTAACCGCCGTTCACTGGTATCTCTCACGCTCTCCGGCTCGGAGCTTTCTCTGTTTTTTTCGCGCTAAAAGAAAAAAAAGCGCCGCTACCAAGAGTCTTGCACCATCGATGACTCACAATAACACGTCTCTCTACGCGTTCCGAAACTATTTGTCGATATTCATCGAACATTTTGTCTCAAACTTGTTATCAGTCAACATTTTGTCATTGATTGGCAACGACGCAAATTCGATAAGACGTCAATTCGCCATTTCCGTTTTATTCGCGATATCGACAGCGGTTTAAATTAAAAGTCCATTAGACCGAGATACGGATCACGGGGGGACGCGTGAAACGTCGCGATAAACGCGATAAACGCGATTCGATTCGATTCGATTGTTCGCGAATCGTGGAAAACACGTGCGCTCCGAAAGCGCGGCGATCGGAGCGCGTCTCTCGATCGTACGCGGACGAGGAACCGCTACCACTGGCCCAAGAAACGACGACGCGGCCACTTCAACGCGGCGAAGGCATATGGGACCCTCTCAGGTCCGTGAGACTGTGAGGCTCCATCGAGGAGCCCGAAGAAGAAATAGAATGCGCCGGAAAAAAAACACGCATTAACACGCTCTACGCTGCGACAGTTTTCTTTTTATTTTTTTTATATAAAATAGATATATTTTTATTATATAAAGTCATCAAAAATCTGAGAAAAAACATAGTTTAATATTACCGAGTCAAAATATTTTGATTATAATTGTAACAAAAATATTACGAAAGAGAAAGAGAGAGAGAGAGAAAAAAATCAAATATTGTTGCGGTATCAGAAAGTAGACGAGATATTGGATAGGAGTCGCACGAATGCGACAAGATTTTCCTGCCCTGTTCTCTATCGCTTTCGGGGTCTCCCGAAGCCCGAACACGGTCCTGACCACTAACTCGTTCTACGACGATAAGTATCGAGAGTAGACGACGACAAGGATGCAGAGAGGCGTAGCCTCTCATACATCGGGACTGTGTTATGCGGGCGTAAGTGAGCGCTGGGAACGGGGCGAGGAACGCTCACTTCGATGCAGAGGGCAACGTCAACAGGGAGAGAGTGCAGACGTAAGTCACTCTCTCTCTCTCTCACTCTCTCTTTCTCTCTCTCTCTCTCTCTCTCTTCTTCGCATGTCGGAATGACTAATAAACTAAGAGTCGGAACACAATCGCGGAGTCTCTCTCTTGCACCCGCACAACGCGCGCGCGCGCGCCAGACACAACCGTCATCATACACCACCGGGGTCGTATGTTGCTACGAGTGGCTCGTCAAAATGCTATTAGCGGCCGTTTGCTCCTCGCCCATTCAGAGGCCCTTCGCCTTCGCGCGTGGAAACGCGCGGCTATGACGACGCGAGTCACGAGGTGGCTGACCCTCACAATTTCTTTCTTTCTCTCTCTCTCTCTCTTTCTNCGCCTTCGCGCGTGGAAACGCGCGGCTATGACGACGCGAGTCACGAGGTGGCTGACCCTCACAATTTCTTTCTTTCTCTCTCTCTCTCTCTTTCTTTCTCGCGCGCGCGCGAGAGTTCTGGGATTACGCCAAAAAGGATCTTCATCCTTAAACCAGTGACCCGAATACGCTGACGTACAACTCACGAACTTGAATCGCGTCTTGAAAATCGTCTTGAAAAAAATTCGACGAATCATTTTTCACGTTGTGTGACGCGAACACGAGCGATCAAAAAGAAAAAAAAAACGCAACAAATACCGCGCGAGATTCTTGATAAAAACACAATATACCTGGCGCACTCGGAAAGTTTTCTATGATAAGTATTCCCGGGATCGCGTGGACTATCATAATTGCTGTCACGGCAATATATTTGTCCGACCTTGTCCGTTATCGCAGTTTCATAGCGATAGAAACACAAAGGTGTTATCGGAATTGCGCTGTACATTATTCATTAGACGCGAACCAGGTGGTTCGGTATTTATTCCTATTCCACACAAGCGCATGTAAATTCGGTGGTCGGACATCACGAACTTGCGCTTGCAATCAGATGCAACGTGTAGTTTATATTAAAGCCGTGGAAGGGGCAGCAGTGGTTTCTGCACTAGAAATGCCATCAGTTCGGTTCGGCAAATCGTCGAGATATCTTCGTCGAGATAACCGTTATCGCGCCATATTGTTCTGTTATCAAAAAAAAAAAAACTCTTTCTCTTCAATAATTATCAAATGTCTGTTTATGTAACAGCAGCCAAAACACAACGTGCATACGACGCAATAACATTGCACAATTCAAACCGCCGTGTATACTCTGTTTTTTTTTTCAGGTATTTATTTATAGATAAAATTATTTATAGATAAAAGATACTAATGATATTCAATATCAGAAAAAAACAAGGATCGTATATGTATCGATACACGATATTGAGGTGTATCTCCAGCCGCCGTCGCAACCATTGGCGTAGCAAAACGACGAGCCGCCGCCGCCGCCTACTCTTATGCAGCCCGGCGTGCAGGGCTGCAAGCGCGCTGCGCGAGTCTGCAGGCGGCGGCGGCGGCGGCGGTGGCGGCGATCGATTACTTTTACCGGCGGAAAGGAGTTAAAGCGCGCGCGACGACTCCACCTCGTGTTCCCTCGCGGTCTTTCTTTCTCTTCAAAAGTATATTAATGGCAACATCGTTGTTTTCGCGTATTCGCGGCGCGCGAGATCGCTTGGACCGAGTTACAAGTTTCTATTAATGTCATGTTCCGCGTCGAGATGCGTTACTTATTGCCTGTTAACATTTTGTTTGCAGCAGCGGCTTTCACGTCTGCGGCTTACAATAACAAACCGAGCTTTAGCGCTCGGTTGCGGAGCGAGCTCTTCTGCCTGCAGTTTAAATCACGGAAATTATTTACGTAAATAACGCGATACTAGGATTATTCATGACGAAGTTTAAATGCGGCAATTTAGAATTTTGCTTTAAATCCCTTCGAGCGCAACGATTCACCGAATACGAACAAATCACACGAGATGTTTCATCTGTGTGTTCTCTGCACGCACGAACAACAAACGCACATTGAAATAATTTACGTTTAACAATTAATACAAACACGCGGTTATTAATTCGCGCGATCGCGCAGTATATTTCCCGCGCGAAAATTATGTATAGCCGTTTTATTTCCGATTATGTACATTATCAAATTTTATTTATTTAACCAATTTCGATTAAAACTGTATAATTCAAGTCGACACGCCAAAATTGATTCTCGCGAATCCGAAGAGAAATCCGATTCGCAAAGCGATCGACTCGCACGCGCGCGTTTGAAATTCCTCCAAATAGCAGGCACGTATATAATCGAACTCATTGAACTAACACGCATACTTGGGTCGCGGTCGAATATCTATTTTTACCGGCCTTGGCATCCGAAACACATTGCCAATTTGCATCCGTGCTTCGCGGATGGGGAGTGAAGTATATCGGAAATCTAATAAGGGGGGCTCGAGAGAATGCGAAAACATTGTTAAGGTAGAAACACTCGACGATTGACAAAAGACCTATTTTTTTTTTTTCCAAGAATGCTAATCAACTAAAAAACAAATTAACTAATATAGTGTATATATAACGTCAGGCAAAAAGTTGAACCATAGAAAAAAAAAAGTATCGATAAGTGCCAATCATCGAAGGGGCGCTAACTTACGGGTTCGGTAACCGAACCCGTACGCGAGAACTGACGAAAGTCACCGCGCGCGCGAGCGAGCGAATGCGCACGCGGATGTGCAAGAAGAGATAAGTGTGAATTAATGGCCGTTTGCCCCGGGGTCAAAAGGCGAACTAACACCAAATTGATACCGACGGGAGGAAGGCTCGCGCAGCTGTCTTCCCCCCCCCCCTTTCTCTTTCTCTTCTCTCGACCGTCGTCATTTAGTTTCTAATGCACGATAACGGCTTAAACGAGAGACACATGTCTGTGTGTGCGCGCGCGCGTTGGAAAAATCGCATTGAGCTTCTTAACACTTGACCTCTCGTGTGCGCGCGCTCCGCCTATAATGTGTTATCCCACCGCGTGCTTCTGAAGAGATGTCAAGCCGGGGATCGTTCAACCACCACATAAACGGATGTGAAACGCGAGCTAACATTTTACACACCGGTAATAGATATTTATTCTTAATGCGACAGAAGAAAAAAAGAAAAAAAAAAAAACATACACGTCGGATTTCTCCCGCTCTCTCGCGTGCGCGCAAATGCATTTCCACGTCAGGCGGGCGCCGAATAGAAACTTCACAAGATAGCGGTATATTTCAATATTTAATCTATTCTCTACGTTCGTGTACGCGCGCGTGCGAAAGAAAGTTTTACAAGATTGAAAAAAAAAAGGGTATGTTTTTTGTTCGTTCATAGTTTTTTTTTTTTTTTTTTTATTCGAGAAGCAACGCCGCGGCGTGTAAATCGATCCACGGGATTCATCCTCGAGTACAACGCGTCGGAGAAGCAGCGTGGTAACAAGGTATATACGTCTCGGATAATTTGTTTGCTCTTATAATAATGTCCGCGTTGCCAGAGCGTTCGCAAACGAGCGCGATTTGACTCGAAGGAGTTGCACGAGGATACCGAACAATATGACGGTATCGCGGTGGTGGTGCGAGAACCACGCGAGAAACGTCAGTCGTCGTGTCTATTTTCGTTGGATCATAACCACCACCGTCATCGCTCAACATAGACGATAAGTTGTTCCATTCGCGCCGCCGATTATTTACGCGAATTCGATACGTCCAAGCGAGAGACCTCGTCGTAAAAGAGAATTTTCAAACGCGCTCTCGAAGTCACGGGCAATCGGAGAGAAAGAGAATCACGCGCACAAATTATAATTCGCGTTTTCTATAAACTTCAGTGTTGTGTGCAGTTTCACTTTTTCTCTCCGAGGAAACAAAAAAAAAAAAAAAGAGAGAGAAGAGATTCTGCACTTTGTAGATACGCGACATTATGTAAACTTAATTCTTCCGGCGAGGAAATCTAATTTTCTCGGCGAGGACACAGCGACTCCCTAGCGGAGAGTCTCGCGTGCGCGAGAGACCGATAGCGCGCGATCGGTTCCCCGGTTTAGATGGAAAAACCGGAAAAATGTCTGACGGAGAGGAGGTTGCGCACGAAATACGTATATATACGTGTACGCGTCGTCTGCGCGAGCATTAAAACGACGAAACACATCGCGACGTAGAGTAGAATTCTGGAACGCGGCCAGTACGTACGTTTGCAGGTACCGGCGGCCTTTTAAAGTGGAACTTTAGTCCTCGTGTCGCTCCTGGCTCCTTATTTAACATTTATAACGCCGGATTTAACGGCGCGCGTTCGTCGTAAATTTCTCGCGGGGTTCCGAAACCCGCGTTCCAGAAACGGCATCTCTTCGTCATCTCGCCCTTTAATCACGAGCGAACGATAAACGTGTACGCGTCGGACAAATTCGTCGGGCGCGATAAATAGACCGCGTGCACACACGTCGATTACGAAAAGCACATATACATATAACGCAAGTGAAGCGGATCTCGGACAATG